GGGAGAAGGGTGCAACAATGAATGAATGGAATTCCAAAATCTCTGTAGATTGTTCATTGAAATGAAAAATAAACAACCTAAATTAAAACAAAACAAAACAAAAAAAAAAAACAACAACAAGGGCCTATGGCACAAGTAAAGAGACCCAAAGGAAAATAAGCCCTCTTTTTTTCAGATAGAGGTTAAAATATATTCGTGAGGGAAATATCATGGAAAAATGTTCTACCTCAAACTCACAAAATCATCTCTGCTTGAGTTTTAGAATAAGAACTTCAGGCCTTCTACAGGATGGTCTGGATCACAGAACATAGTCACTCACAATGGACCAGGCCACCAGATTTTGCTTTTGTTTTTTGAGTGAAGACTATTAATAATGACCTATGTATCTACAAATGCATGAGAGATGAGGAAGATTAACAGAATATAGATAGAGAGTTGTGCATCATTGAATTGGAACCTACCCATAGCTGGTCTGCTTTTCAGAGGCAGTAAATCACAGAGGAGGAGACTGCCCATTCTTCTCTCATGGAGCAGTTGGTTGATTTGAACTACGTGCTTTTGGAATTGCACTGCAGAATCTTATTACCAGGCCACTAGAGCCATAGATATATTGGGGCTCTGGAGGCACAGTCTGTAGGGAATTGCACTGCTAACTAAGTGGGGGTGCTTCTCTGGTGGTTTCTGGAGCAGGAATCCACCAAACACTCCTCAGATGAATTCTGGGCAATTCCAACCATGTGATTTAAGGCCTCCAAAAAAATAACTGAAGAGTCAGTTATTAAGTTATTCCTACTTGGCAATGAGTGAGTAATATGTATAAATATATATACATATATAAAAATATTTTAACTTGGCAATGAGTGATATCTCTATATCTCCATCTCCATATCTATCTATCTATCTATGCTGGTGGCTTACTAGTAAAGAGTTGCACTGGCAAACCAAAGGCACATGATTCGAATCCACCAGTTTCTCCACGGGAGAAAGTGGGTAATCTCTTTCTGTGGGATTTACTGCCTCTAAAAATCTGCTGGGGCATCAGCTAAGAGTTGGTTCTGACTTGATGGTACAGAACTCTATGTATACATAAAACAAACCCCCCTGACTCCTAAGTTATTCTTTTCATCCATAGTAACCAGATGTATCTAGCACCAATACATTTTCATTCGTTTTCCTGGTCTCCAGGCTAAGAGAAAACACCAACAGTGCTGTAAGTCAAGTCAGAAAGCCACCTGTCCTGTGTCTCTTCTGAGTAATAGTAATTCTGTAGAACAGGGTACAACTGCCCTATAGGACTTCCAATGCTGACATCTTTACAGCAGCAGACCACCTCATGCTTCCGCCATGGAGCAGCAGCTGCTGGGTTCGAACTGCCACACTGTTTATTAGCTGTCAAGTGCTTTAAACACTTTGTCACCTGAGTTTCTCAATAAAGGAACATAAGGAAAAGAGCTTGCAGTGTTGATATCCATTTAGATGATCACTGGTATTCCACCATCATCAAACATAGACTTTAAGACCCTCTACTCACCACTGAACTAAGAGTCCAATGTTTTAAGGAAATCAGAGTCCTTATGTACTACACGGCTAAGACCACAAAAATAATGGGTGTATATTTCCTCCCTCCTCAGCTGAAATACACAAACCAAAACAAAAGAGGAAAATAAAAAACACCCTTGAGAGTCATGGAATGTTACTAGAAGTTTTTCCATTATTGAACTTTATATTCAGTCACTCATACTTCATAGTTCTTAGCTCAGCTCTTACACAGGCAGATATCTGTAGAAACTTCCCCCGAAAGAAGGCCAAAAAGAGTTTCTTAAATACTTTCTGTTTCTGCATTTCCAATGGAAACTGTTTTAGAAATGTTGACAAAACTATAGAAAGAAAACAGAGCTCAACCTGCTTTTTTAGCCATGGTTTTAAATCTTGTAAATCTTGGCTTGTTTTTCTTTCAACAGACTGCTAAACAGCCAAGTGATATCGCATCTGCTCATAATTGTTGTGGTTGTTGTTAGATGCTGTTGAGCCACTCAGAATAGATGAACATGAAAACTATTTCACTTTCACCCAGAACTTTTCTCTATCTTTTTTATTTCAGGACAATGCAAATACAATTCGCATAAAATCTGACTGTATCACAGAGTTATCTCTTGCTGGACATGGGGATTGTTTACCAGCGTCCTTTAGGATTGCAGTTGTAGTTGCTTTCCAATGATATTCATTCCCATGGGAAATGCTTTTTTAAAAAGTTCATTAAAGGGAGCTCTGGTGGCCTAGTGGCAAAAAGTTGCACTGCAATCCCAGAGGTGCGCGGTTCAAATCCAGCAGATGCTCTGCTGGAGAAGGAGGGACAATCTCCTCCTGTACCAGTCAGATCCGATTTGATGGTACACAAACAAAAAATAATAAAATAAAAAAAAAGTTCATCGAATACTCTCTTCTTTCACTGCCCCTATTGCAGCAATGGGTTTAAGCACAAAGGGATATCATCTGCTAAGATCATGAGGATGATGAAAGATTGGGCAGTTTAGGCAACTCTTGATTTATTATATAGAGGATCGCATGAATTGGAGTCAATACTATGGCATGTAACAACAACAGTAATACTCTCATCCTCATGAAGTATTCTAAGATTCTAATTTTCTTCTAATTAAATTTATGTAATGTAAAGGAACATCATTTCACAAATGCAGTTTTGTTTTTGGTGGGTTTTTTTTTACCTTTGATCCCTAATTATTTTTTTTTTTCATTAAGAAAAAAATTACCGTTTTGAGACTCCTCACTGAAGAGACGTCAAGAAATGACACTGCTGAAAAATCAAGGATGAGGCTGTGGATGTGGACTTTGGGCACCATAAGAAAGGGAGGTAGATCACTATTCCAGTCTATCTGGAAGGGGAGGTCTTTGGTATTGACTGGCTGATCCAGTTCTTCTATCTGGTTATTGTCCAGCTCGTCATCAGAATCTTTGATGGCATCTGCAGTGTATATCAGTCCTTTCTGTAGAAGGGGATAGAAATCATGTTAACTCTGACCAATACAAATAGTTTATGTCAGAAGTCAAATACAAAGTTTCTATAAACAACATGCCTCTGGAAACTCTATGAACTTTGATAAATGTCAATAGTTATAGAAAGGCTTCAGGCCTTTTGTCCATAGGGTTACTATGAGTCACGCAGGACTCGAAGGCAACCAATAACATTCACTATTTGACTCAAACATTCAAAGACTTGACTCAAAAGGATTCAAAGTTAGATCAAGCAGTTTTTCTTTGGTCTGAAATAAAAATGTCAGGAAATCCTCAAAGACACCATTTAAAATGTTGGCATTAAATGACACGTTGTGTACAATAGAGGTGGAACCCACCCAGAGCTGACCCTCCAGGTGGGTTTCAGAGGCAGTTAATCGAACAAGAGGAGATTGCCCATCCTTCTGCAGAGCAAGTGGTGGCCTCGAACGTCTGCCCTTCGGGATTGCAGAGCAGCTTCTTGCCACTAGGCTCCCTTACAAAATTACTTTTGTAATTATTACAAAATTATTTTCTTTTTTTTTTTAAAATAATCTTTGTGTGTACCATCAAATCGGGTCTGACTGGTACAGGAGGAGATTGCCCCTCCTTCTCCAGCAGAGCATCTGGTGGATTTGAACTTTGTGCCTCTGGGATTGCAGTGCAGCTTCTTGCCTCTAGGCTACCAGAGCTCCCTTACAAAATTATTTTCTAATCCAGCAGATGCTCTGCTGGAGAAGGAGGGACAATCTCCTCCTGTACCAGTCAGATCCGATTTGATGGTATACACACAAAAAATAATAAAATTTAAAAAATTATTTTCTAAAAGGTAATTTAAAACTGACATCTGAAATGCAAATACACTCTGCCCTGGAAACAACTAGTGGGCACAACTCACCAAAAACAATCTGATTGAAGTAATATTACTGCTGATTAATAAAAACATATTTTAGATTAATCCTCAATGTATGCAGTTTGGGAATTAGTTTTTTAACTAGAGAAGGAAGATGGGACATTAGCCCTTCATTATGTATCATTTCACTTCAAATTGCAAAACTTTTTAGTATTGCTAATACTAGCCTTGTAGTCTTTTGGAGGAACATTCTTCTAAGTCATACAACACTCTGGTCAGTTTGCTGTGTTGAGGTAATCTGGGTTTGCTGTAACACTGAATCTTGTGCCATTTAGGTCTCAAATGCCATAATGGAACAACTGTGCCATAGGTGTGCAAAACACTATGATGTCTACCCTTCGTGGGCAGTGTTTGGTGGAGCTCCCAGACTGATCCAAGTTTGGAAGCAGGAGTGGCAGCCACTTTCTAAACCACATGCCTCTGGAAACTCTATGAACTTTGAAAAACAACAACAGTTATAGAAAGGCTTCAGGCCTTTTGTTCATAGGGTCACTATCATCATCATCATCAAACAACAATACAAGCCTTATAATTGTCACAACTATAATTACTTGATAGATGACAGATATAGCAAACAAAGTAAAAATCAATTTTGTTGTAATGCAGCAATCAAACAATAGGTGACCATGAGTTGAAGCAGATGAATGATTTTGGGTGAAAAAGGAATTACAATAGGTCACAAAAGAGGAAGTTTAGTGGGGTAAACCAGTGGTTCTCCAAACTGGCTGCACATCTCAATCACTTGCTGAACTCTGAAAACTACAAATTACTACCAGCCTTTACCTCTGACCACTGAATCAGATTATCAGAGGGTGAAGTTCAGAGATATTTGTTAGTTAGTTAATGAAGAGTTACAAGATTTTATACCTAGCTGGACTAAATGCCTTCATTAGGTAACATTCCACTTACGGAAATGCAGCTAAGACCTTGAACTACATTTTTTCTATGCTACTGCCTATCATGTCCAGAAAGGTGACTGAGAAACTTACCGGTGTCACTTGTATCTGCTTTTTCTTCAGCAGTCTTCGGATTTTCTTCAAAGCTTTGTTGCGCTTGCGGAGAATTCGAAGTGGATTGAAGCCAATCTGAAAAGCCCATTTTTAGCACAAGAATACTAAATATTCTGCTACTTACATAATAAAGTTATAATCATTGACTAGGATGGTTTGAGGGATTAGGACACATATCTGTAAAAAGGTTAACAGGAGTTTAAGTCACATTGTTTCTGAACTGTGGTCTACTCTGTTTGGACATGGTTATCAACATCAAATGAATCCCTTGTAATAATCTAAGATTTATCCATAAAGCATTTATTTATATATCTAAACTCTATTTCAACCTGTTTGCAATTTTGACCTACAGATATCTGAAGAAATGTTATTTTCTTTTTGTTGAATAAGGATGGCATCTAACCAATATTTGGCTTCTGTATAATTTTAATATAGTAAAATGAAATGTTCTCATTTAATATTTAGTATTATATGCTTTCCTTTATTTTTTTTTAGTACTAGACTCAGGATAACTTTCATCTTCCTTTTTTCCAAAGAAATATGTTCATATTAATGCAAGAATTAGATCTAATTAAAATGTAAGGATTAAACAATATAAAAAATTCCTTAACAAAAAGATAGTTGATGTAAGAAGGATTATTATTTAATAAAAAATTCCTTAATTAAAAATGTAATCAGGTGGAAAGACATTATTAGATTAAGGGAAAAGTGAAGAATATAAAGTTAGGTATATAATATAATCCCATGTGGTAAAACACCATAATCTTGGGCCAGGGAGAAAAATGCCCAGAAGAAAAAAGACAGGATGTATATCAAAGTGCTTAAATGCTGTTGTTATGTACGGCTGAATCGGAACCTAGCTGACCCTCCTGTGGGTTTTCATAGGTAATAAATCACACAGAAGGAGATTGCCCATCTTTTTCTCTTGGAGCCATTGGTGGATTAAAACTGCCAGCGAGGTGTGGTCTTAAATATTTATAACTGCTATCCCAACTAATTGGAAAGTTGGACAGTGACTAGGGATGATAGAGAATTGACACCTTTGAGCTGTGGTGCTGGAGAAGAGTGTTGAATAGACTATGGACTGCTAGGAGAACAAACAGGTTTGTCCGGGAGAAAGTGAAGCAGGAATGCTCCTTGGAGTCAAGGATTCTGAAGCTTCATCTGACATATTTTGGGCATGTTGCAAGGAGGGACTGGTCCTTGGAGAGGGACATCATGTTTGGGAGAGTGGAGGGACAGCACAGGAGAGGAAGACCCTAAATGAGATGGATCAATTCTGTGATTGGAGTGGTGGGAATGAGTGTGTTTGAGACAGCGAGGTTGGCACAGGATAGAATGGTGTTTAGGGCTCTTGTTCATAGGGTCGCTATGAGTCGCAAGCAACTCGATGGCACATAACAACAACAACAACATCCCAACTAATTATCTTCAATTATGCTTTCATTGACATCCTCCCACCTCCTATGCACACAATTACCCCAAACCTTACAGCACTGATAAGTTTCTGCTTAAAGAAACCAATGTTTGCAAAGTAGAGAGGTGATGGACATCTGAAGATTTTCACTCCTTCTGGCTCATACATCTACAAGACAGAGAAATAAAATTGGATAGTATTAGTTAGACTCATGATTAATGTCATTTAGCAAGTTAAAGGGGAAGGGGCAGGGCAGGGCAGGAAATAACCTTCTTACATCAGAGAAATCTTTTCTATTCTTATAGATGTTGCTCCTTCCAACATTAGCCAGCGTGCTGCATTTTGGACTGCAAGGAAAATGAATAGCAAAATAATTAGTCACGTATGTTTGTTGGATCTGTAAGGCTAACATTGATTGTTTCTGATATCAAAGCAGGCTCACTCGTCAAAATCTGGAAAGTTAGGTAATCATTGGGGCTCACAGGGCAGAGATCTCCCAGGACAAGCACCAGTACCTTGCACCTACCATGTCACTGTTCACAAACACTTTTACCATTTTGGTTCTGAATATCACAGCTGTTTGGTAAAAGGCAGGCAGATAAATGTTATTTATTTGAAGGATGCAGACAAGGAGATGCCCGTAAAACCACTTGGTTTGTCTCAATGTTTGATAGGTCCCCAGTAGAGTTGAGTGCAAATACAAATCAAACAGTAAGAGACATTTTAATACAAACTTATCTCATCAATTGAAGCTTGTTGCTTCTGTTGTTGTTATGTGCCACTGAGTCACCTGCAACTCATAGCGACCCTATGTACAATAGCTCTGAACTCAGCCCTATCCTGAGCCAGTCTCACTGACTGACACACCTATCCCTATTGCTGCTATTATTGTGTCAATCCATCGCATCTGGGGTCTCCCTCTCCTGTGATGTCCCTTCACCCTTTCAAGTATGATATCCCTTTGGTCCCTCCTGGCCACGTGCCAAAGTATGTGAGACAACGCTTCAAAATCCTTGCCTCCAAGGAGAAACTTGATTTCACCCTCTCCAAGACAGACATATTTGTTCTCCTGGCAGTCCCAGACATGTTCAATACTCTTCTCTAGCACCACAATTTAAAGCCATCAATCCTTCTGTCATTCCATTGTTGATAGGTGCCATCAAATAGAGTATGACTCATAGGTAGAGCACAACTCTATGAACCCTGTTCTATCTTGTACCATCCTCAGCATCTCTGAAGTTTAACTACAATAAGAACACGTCCTGCTCTGGAATTCTTTCGTTCTCAAGGAACATTATTTCTCTGACCCACCATCTAAGCCAGCCTGCACTGAGTGACCACATGGTGGTGATATTACAGCAGAGATTGATTTAAGGAGCAAAGCGATGGACCAGAGGACTCTAAAGAATCAAGAATTTAAAACAGCTTTTGTAGCATTTTTTGACCACCTGTCTGTCAGTCAGTTTGTCTAACTGTGGTGGCTTGTGTGTGACCACGATGCTGGAAACTCTGACACTGGTGTTTCATCTGCCACCAGAGCCACCTACGGTGGAAGGTTTTAGCTGACTTTCGGCACTGAGATTAGGAATAAAGGCCCAGTGACCTACTTCTGAAAATTAGACAATGAAAAGCCTATGGATCACTTGCTTTGGACAAGTCACCCGGAGAGGTCAGCCACTGAAAGGACGCCCTATTTGATGAAACAGGGGGCTGCTGAAGGTCAGGAAGGTGTGGATGAGATGGACCAGTACAAGAGTCACAGTGATAGATGTGACCATGATGATTGTGAAGATGATACAGGACCAGGTACACTTCCCCCTCTTGTACATGAGGTTACCACAATCTGGAGCGGACTCAGCAGTAGCCATCCAGCTATGAATCTGTCTGTCTATACACCATCTGTCCATTTGTCTATCATCCACTTTGTCTATCTTTGTGGAGTTTTATGACAAGAGGGAGCTTTGAGAAGTTCTTTACTCCAGCTCAATAATGCTTCTAGGGTTCAATCTACCTATAAAGAAAATCGGATAATGCCACACTTCTCTCTGTAACACACTCCCATGTTTAACAAGTCAAAGGCAAAGACATTAAACAAATACTTCTGGTTTACAGTTGGACAAACAAGCACTGAGATTCATAAGATATATATATATATATATTTTTTTTTTTTAAATAGCTGTCAAAGAAGGGAGCAGGCTAATAGGAGGTTGGCTGACTGGCTGGGCTTTCTAAAACCAAATCTTCCTGTTACTCTTCTGGTCTTAAAGTAACTGAGGAAGCACATACTGGCCAATCTTAATGGTCGTGTGTAACTAACAACAAAACCACTTTCCCCAAAACTAGTGACAAATTAAAGCACTGGATTTGGGCAGCTGAAAGCCTGGAAGGATGGAGGCAGGGCCCAGGAGCACTCACAATTGGGTCCGGAACACAATGGTCAGGAGCTGAAATGCAACGCTGGCTGCCAGGCCTAAACCAAGGCCCAGGACGATGGCACAGAGGAAGGTCACCACCCAAATTAACTAGGAAGAAAAAACAGCACACTCGTTATAACTGGCTTTGATTAAATAGCATAATGTCTTTGGCTTAGAAGTATGAGAAAGCACGCACTTCCAGGGTCAAAAGCAGAGGCTGGGAGTTGTAATCTTGGGCCAGGGAGCAAAGTGCACAGGAAAAGGGACCATCTCAGGTTCTGAGCCAGGGGACCACGAGTAAACATCAAACGACTCACAAAATGTAACCATTTCTAATCCCCTCCCTTTTTCAGTTAAAGAAGTGATTGTGTCTGTCACAGCTAGAATTCTAGAACCAGCTGCAGTGTATTAAAGGTAGCAAACTGGTAGAACCTGTTCTAAATTCCTTGAAAAATGGAATTTTATTTTTGTCATCTTGTTGAGAATATACACAGCAGAATATACATAAATCCAACAATTTCGACATGAGCAACTCGGTGACTCTGATATATCCTAACAGTTGTGCAACTATCCTCAAGCTCCTTTTCTCAATTGTTCCCTAAACTAGCCTCAGATTCTTGGTCTATTGGTTTAATTAACAGTTTCTAGTGGTGTAATCTGTTGAGAGGTGCACTGGTAACCCAAAGGCAGAGTCTAACGGTGCTAATCCCTCCTCCAGTGCGGTTTACAGCCTCTAAAATCTACTGGGGTTTCAGGTCTGAGTGCAGTTTATTCCTATAAAAAGGAGCTCGGGTAGCACAGTGAGGTCTTCTGGTGGCAAAGTACGGAGTGTTGTTTTACCAACCAAAAGGTTGCTAACCTCCAGTGGTTTCAATTCACAAGTGACCCAGAGGGAGAAGGGAGAAGACGGACAGTTGCCCTTACAGTCTTGGAAGCCCAACGGGGGGTTGCTATCACTCCGAATAAACTTGATGGCACTGAGTTTAGTTTTTTGATGCCATCGTAAAAAGTGTGTTGCACTGCTAACTGAAAGGCCAGCTGCTGCCGACTGAAGGGTCAATAATTCCTGTTAAGGTTTATAGCCTTGGAAATGCAATAAAGGCTTACCAAGAACTCGAATTTACTCAAAGGCAGTGGGTTTGGAGTTTAAAAATTTTTTTTTCTTTTTTTACTCCGTATAAAAGTAGTTCAGCACTCTCTGCTAAACAAAAGGTCATTGGTTCAAACCCACCAGCCACTGGAGAAAGATGGGCCGTGTGCTTTAGGAAAGCTTTACAGCCTTAGAAATTCTCTGAACAGTTCACCCCGGCCTACAGGGTCGCTCTGAGTCAGAATGCTGTCCTCTGCAGCAGTGAATTTGCCTTTGGGTTCATCTAGGTAATAAGAAACACTTTAGCATGCAAAAATGGTGATCAAATCTCCAACAACTACCAGGAACAAAAGTAAACTAGCTGTAACATTTTACTTTATGTGTGTTAAGTACCATACAATGCGCTAACAGCATTTTTATGCCACATACTTTGACCTTGATATAACTATGGACTCTGTGTCTCATAGCAAGGCACGCTGAGGGCAAAGAAGGCTTTGTAGAGTATTTCTATAAAGGAATGGTCAGAAGTGAAGTTTTCTACAGATTCTTTGGAAACAAACACATTATGTAATGGACTGAAGCAAGACAAATTCTAAAATCTAGAGAGCTTCTGTGCCGTTCAGAATGACTCCAAGGACTTTAAGAACAGACCTAAGAAAGTTCTTTATTTGCACATGACCCTTCCTTTGTGATGGAATTTCCAGGCCAGGATGAACAGAAAGATGCAACTAAAATAAAATAGCAACTAAACAAACCAAGACTGTTTTGAACATACGCAAGAATGAAATTCCACTGGTTTGCAAATATTCGTAACATTCTACACCACCAGTAAAATGCCACCCACATTTCTCTCTCTTTAAACTGCTGCCTCTACTTACACAATCGTATTTATCCTTTTTCCACAGTCTTCCTATTTCAGCAAACTGCATCAGCATTCCCTTTAAATTTCCAAGTGCTAAAGCTGCCAGGACGGACTGTTAAAAACATAAACACCAGATGTACTTTTAAGTTAATCAAATAAACCATATAGAAGCAAAGGTGAAGGCTGTAGATAAGGGAGTCCTTTAAAAGGGCCTCAAAGACTATTAAAAGATACACCCTTTTCCGGTGTGCAGGGGCCAGGCGCGACACTGAGACACCGGTGAGCTGGAACTCTGACCTGTACCCATGTGCGACTTTGTTCCCAGCAGCGATGGTGGCTGGATTGCCCTTTGTGGTTATTCCACAGATGATCTGGTGGCCCTTAAGAGCCATTACCTCTAGACAGAACAAGGAAGAGCTTCCCCGGCGACAGTAGAGGTGGGGTTAGGGGGCTGATCTTTATAAAATGTAACTTGGTGGGTTTGGGGTTCTGGGATCTAATTTCAAACCTCTGATGATCAACAGCAATCATGCTGTTTGGGGAAAAGAAGCTAAATATCGCACAGAGGTCAAAGATTGCTGCAGACTCTCAGGGACAGCATGATCTCTGCTCATGTTGTTTGCTGGGGCATCCCTAGAGCTCACCATGGCCAAAGGCCCATAAGCCCACCTGCCTGCTCACCCTAAGCAGGTGCTACTGAATTGGTTATAACATTTGATGGTCTGCTGTGTGCAGAGCAGTGTCTCAGTGCTGCCTCATTTCAGAGGTAGATCGCCAGGTGTTTCTTGTGAGGCGCCGCTGAATCGCTAATCTTTTCATTAGCAGTTGCACCTGTTGAAGCTACTCAGCAACTCCTAGGTGTATACATTGTTAATGTCTGTGCCTGTTGATTCCAACTCATCGGCAGCCCTCCATGGCAGCATAGAGATGCCCCATAGGATTTTCTAAACTATAATCTTGATAAGAATAGATTGCCAAGTCTTTTCACCTGTGGAGGTGAGTTTGAAATGCTGACCTTTAATTTAGCAGCAAAGGACTTAATCACTGCACCTCCAGTTATTGTTGCGTGCGGCCCAGTCAGAACTGAGCCTTAGCTGACCCCACCGGTGGGTTTTTTTCAGAGGCAGTAAATAGTTCTGGAGGAGACTGTCCATCCATCTCCCATGAAGCAGCTGTTGGATTTGAACAACATGCCTTTGGAATTGTAGCACACAGCTTCTTACCTCTAGCCTACCAGAGCTCCTTCCAAATGCATAGTGTGGAAAGCACTTAATTATTCAATGAATAAGCTAAGGGCTTACTGTTTCTCAAGCAATTTACTAACCTCTCAGGAACACAAATGAACTCTTGTTATAGCCTGTAGGGAGCTGGGCTGTTCACCCAAAGACCGCAGCCCTGAGGGAGAAAGATGGGCCACACCTCCCATGCAGTTTACAGCCTCAGAAACCCAATGGAGGATCGACATGGAGTCGGTTTTCAATTTCACTCTATCTAGTGAAACCGGTGAGAGCTGAAACTCAGTGAGATTGTCTTGTTTTCTGAGTCTCAAGAGTTTCCTACATTTGACAGGATACACTTTGCACTTTTCTGTTGCTTGTTTTAGTGGAAAATATTTGCGTTTTCGTTCTCTGAGAGGTTTCTACCTTACACAGTCCTGGCTCTTGAAGGTTTTACTTTATAATAGTTCCATGGATGTGGCAAATGGTTAAGTGCCTGGCTGTTAACAGAAAGGTTGGGATGTGAATTCACTCAGAGGTATGTTGGGAAAAAGGCCTGAAGATTTACCTTTGAAAATATCTCAACCACTGAAACATCTATGCAGTACAGTTCTACTCTGAAACTTACAGTATGACCGTGATAGTATCACATGACAATGAATAGATTGTCAGAATCAGTTTGACAATACTGGATTTTTATTTATTTATTTAACATAAGCTTGAAAACCCTATGTGATAGTTTTATTCTGTCCTATAAGGGTCACTTTGCATTGGAATCGATTCCACAGCAAGAGGTTAAGAAACAGCAATGAAGGAAAGCGGAATATACTATTTTGTAACTTTCTGTGAGTTTATACTTTAAAAAAAAAGTAGTAAAAAGAAATTGCAATAGATAAACCCAGTGAAAATTAGTATATCCTTTTAGACCTTTATTGCCTTTGGGGGCATTGACTATTCATATAAAATATGCCAATTACCACCATGTATTAGAAGAGATGCATTATTTTCTTCTTGCCTTACTGCTCATTTGGTTGATACTGAAAACAGTTTACAATAAAACATACTTAAGAAAATGTAAAAAAAATTACAGAGTTTTGATAAACTGTTGAAAGAAGTGGAAACATTTTAACTAGGATCCTGAAATTTGTTCTGCAGTTGACATAAAGGATTAATTAGATATAATGTGCTTAAAGTTCTGCTGATGCTGAGTATTCAAATACTCTAATTTTCTATTCTTAAGGGCTGTGCTATTGTCATAAGAGAAAAGGCAGCAAACCAGCTAGCTAGCTGAAACAGAGACATTTGACACAATGCTTTTGTTATAGAAGGGATTTTGGGTAATAGCATGGACCATGTCCTCAGGCATGGCTTTTTAAGAAGGGAGATAGGATTTTAAATGACAATTGTTTCTTTCATTTTCTGAATAGCAGCCAAGGGCACCCTTATGAGGAAGCGTTCCAAGCCAGAACTGTTCTATCTATAAGAGTGTGTATGTATGTGTTTACTTTTGTCAGGATACATGTTCTTCAATTTGGCTGGTGGCGACTCCCTAATTTCTTTAGTGCCATTCATCTTGAGAGCAGTAGGGTAGTGTATGATGAACAAGCTCTTTGCGTATGTGTGTGTGTGTGTGCGCGCACACGCACATGTTTGTGTGTACAGAACCCTGCTCTGCTTGGAAGATTATAGTTTGGCCAATGAAACTCTTTTGGAAGGAGCACACTCAACTCAAACTCATGATGGCTGAGTGGAAACCCACTCATGGCTGATCCTCCCCAGGGTTTCTAAAGCTATAGACTGTAGAGGCGGTGACTGCCATCTTTTTGCCCCAGAGTCTCTGGTAGATTCTAATTGCCAAAGAGCCATGGCCTTTGGGTTAGCGGCACTCCTTACAAACCAGAGCACTAAGCTCTCCCTCCCTTAGAGTCTAGAAATCTGAGGTCAAATGTATATTTCCTTTTCCAACCCAGCAGGAAAAGAAAGCTTAGCTAGCAATCAAGAGACAATGATGAGTTGGATCATAGCCTCAAAGCTTCATAGTCAGAATTGGACTAAATATTTATATGATAATATTGTACTAACTATAATGGCTATGATTTGCCAAGTGCTTATTATTCCATTTCATTTTCGTAGCAACCCTGTGAGGTTAGTAATATTTCTGCACCTCTATTTTACCAAAGGGGCACTTATGTGAACTAATTTACTCCAAAGTAAATTTGGGCAAGATTTAAACTAGATCAATGGGAAGGTCTAGTGGCCTAGTGGTAAGAAAGTACCCTGCAATTCCAAAGGCATACAGTTCAAATCCATCAGCTGCTCCACAGGAAAAGGATGGACAATCTCCTCCTGTGCAATTAACTGCCTCTGCCTCTGAAAACCTGCTGGAGGGTCAGCTACAGGTTGGTTCCGACTTGACGGTCCATAACAGCAGCAACAGTTTCCCTTAGGAGTCCCTGGGTGCTACAAATGGCTTATGCTTGATTATTAATCTGAAGATTGGTGGAAGTATGGCACTGGATTACCATGAGTTGAAACTGACTTGATGACAATGGGTTTGCTTAGTTTTCCTGCAGATCCTATGTTTTCTGGGGCCCTCTGTTATTTTATTATTATTATTATTTGAAATATGAGTGTTGCAGAAGTTTACAAAACATTAGATCACACCCTGAAACATTTCAGCTGAGGAGAGGTTGACAGAGAGGTGCAGGAGGGGAATGAAGCCCAAGGATGGGCAGAAAATCAGGGCTTCTTTCCCTCCTGTAGTCTGAGAGTGATGGTCTTGGATTCAAACCAAGCTATGGGAGCTGGAGGGTGTAGTCCTAAGGCTGGACGGTGTGGCTGGTAGCACCATTCCCTGGGTGAGATAGAGGACTTCATTGCCTCAACCTTTTGGAAGATCTTTATTCCTGTCAATTATATGGTGCCAGGATGCCTTCTTATTTAAACATTAATTAAATGTGGGGCTATGCACATGCAAAGAGTAAAGCAGATAAGGCAGCTTGGACATCTGCATTCCTAACATTCATAAGATGCTGCCAAGCGGGAAAAGAATATTTTTGACCCATGGAGTATAGACTGAGAAGAGTCCTGAAAGGTTACAGTCACGATGTTTGCCCCAGTTTAGTTTGTGTTTCAGGAGTTTGGAGTCTTTGGATGTGCAAATGACTAACTTTCTTGGCTGCTAATTGAAAGGTTGAAGGCTCAAGTCCACTCAGAGGCACCTGAGAAGAAAGGTCTAGAAATCTATGTGGGGAAAACCAGTCACTGAAAACCGTAATGAGCACAGTTCTACTCTGACACGTCAAATGTCCATGAGCCAGAGGCAACTGGATGGGTGCCCAGAGTTTAAGAATCAGGGCCTCTGATTCATTACCCAAAAGAGACATGTGCTATCCAGAAAGAGATGAGTGTTACCTTCTGCAGTGGCTCCAGGAGAAACCCAATAGCAACAATGACAATCAGCACGATGATGGCAGAGAGAAGCCCGGCAATCTGTGAAGACCGGAAACAAAAAGTCCTTGTGGCAACACTGTCACCTCCCCTGGCTCCGAATGCCCAGTCAGAGTGCTTTGACCACACCACAAAGACCTGGGAGTACCTGGGTTTTGCCTCCAGTGCTCTCCTGAACCCCGGATCTGGAGAGGGCGGTACTTGATGCAAATCCTCTGAAGGCTCCTCCACATATATTACCCAATCCGAAGGCTATTAACTCCTGAGCGGATAACAAGGAGGGAACTTTCAGAAGTGGCACAACTATGAATATAGACACAGGACAGAACTGCAATTCTACCCAGCGCAGTTGTAATCTTACCTGGTTGCCATCGATGGGATAATCATATTTGAGGGAATAGACGCTGGCAACTGAAAAGGCCACTGCAAAGCCAACAATTGCAATGGCAAAGCTGTCCCCTATGGTCTTTTGGAAAATGTCCACGCTAGGTGTAAGAGGAGGCTGAAATCTAAAACAGAATGAAGGCAAATGTATGTATCACTGACAGCTCTTAATTCTTCAATTGCATATCAGGAGCAATCCAAGCTCATTCCACTTCTCCAGTTTTCAAATTTATGTCACAACCAGACTAAGCTTCCTCTTGCTTCTAGAAGCTGACACTCCTTGCTACCCTGGAGCCTTGTAATTTACTTAAACTTTCTTATAGTCTTCTAATTCCTTATGCCTCCTTCCTGAATCATCTCTCTCATCTCCATCCTTTCATCTAGAAAGTTTCCTTTGACCATAAAGTCAGGATTAGGAGAGATTCTCTGATTCCTCATCCTCTACCATATATTACACACATCACATCACTCCTCACTTAAAGAAGGGGCTGGGACTGTCAGATCCACAGCACTACATCCAATATCAGACACCCTTCTTGGGATATAGTTGGTGATTGTCGAACAGTGAGTGAAATCTAAACTGAGTGGTGCCTCTCTTTCGAGTGTCATCTGCAAGAATTCAGCACTACTGAAAAACTTTGGCATCTGTGATCTTATTACTGCCTGAGTTTGAGTTGTTGTTGTTGTTATGTGCCGTCGAGTCGTTTCCGACTCATAGCGACCCTATGCACAACAGCCCTAAACCCTGCTCTATCCTGCGCCAACCACACCGCCTCTGACACACCCATCCCAATTACCCCAGTCACCGAATCAATCCATCTCATAGAGGGTCTTCCCCTCCTGCGCTGTCCCTCCACCCTCCCAAGCATGATGTCCCTCTCCAAGGACCCATCCCTCCTGGCAACATGTCCAAAGTATGTCAGACGAAGCCCCAGAATCCTTGCCTCCAAGGAGTAGCTTGGTTTAATCCCCTCCAAGATGAATCTGTTTGTTTTCCTGGCAGTCCATGGTACATTCAGTACCCTTCTCCAGCACCACAGCTCAAAAGCATCCACTCTCCTTCTGTCCTCCCTAGTCATTGTCCAACTCTCTGATGCATAACAAGCGATTGCAAAGACCATGGCCTGTATCAGGCACACCTTAGTCTCCATAGAGACACTAAACATAGTCCAACAATAGCAGTAAGCCACATTATAATGCACATTTATATCCACATAAGTAAGCCTCATGCCAAATATCTTAAATTCTGCTTTTATTCTTACATGGGGCTGCAAAGTAGTACCCACAACGCCTCCAGTAGTTATCGACGGTCGAAGATTCTTTGAGCAAACACAGCTCTGAGCCAAGGAAAGCAAGAGAGTCCTCCCTCTATCCAAAACAATAACCTTTCAGGGAAAACCTCTGGCAAACAGACGAGCCTTGGACTCTGCCCTGTGCTGTCTCCATCCGGTGGCTGTAAGGGAGAGAGGGGTCCGGTTCAAAGTGATAAGAATGTCAGGGACACTTGCAATCCACAGAGGATACTTCTGTGTTCATACCTCACAAGGTAACTGCCATTAGATGGTATTTATTAATTATATAAACAAAACCTTCAAATATCTCAAACTCAATATCCATTACTGAAATGCACATCTGCTGAGAACATCTGTCTCTGGTCTAAAACTTAACTAGAAAAGGATTGATTTAATCCACCAAAGCTTTTCTGAATTACTCCACATTTTGAGTATAACTGTGTTAATGGAATTCCAGGCCTAATTTTGAAGAAGGGCTTCTATGTTAAGAGTTAAACACTTGACATTTAACTGAGAGGTCAGTAGTTTGAATCCATCAGTGTGCCCACAGAAGGGACGACCTGGCAATAAGCTCCTGTAAAGACTATACTCATGAAACCCCACGGGCAGTGCTTCTCTGTCCTGTAACGTTGCTGTCGGTTGGAGCTGGCTTGTCACACAACAACCAAAAATGCCCTGCATTCTGCGGCATCCAAACATCAAAAGATAGCCTGGAAAATGTTTCTCTTCATAAACCTGAAACTGGTGGCACAATTCGCACATTGGCAGCATCAGTATGGATGGTGAAGAGATTGAGATAGTTAACAGTTTCAGTTTACTTGGCTCCACAGTCAACATTCTTGGTAACAGCAGCCAGGAAATCAAGAGACAAATTGCTTTGGGAAAGTCAGCTGTGAGGGACCTCTCAAGAGTACTGAAGAGCAACGACGTCGGGCTGGAGACGAAGGTGCCCCTGATCCGGGCTATAGTCTTCGCAGTTACGTGCTATGCATCAGAGAGTTGGAGAGTGAACAGGGATGACAGAAAGATAATTGATGCATTTGAGCTGTGGTGCTGGAGACAAGTGTTGAATAGACCATGGACTGCTAGGAGAACAAACAGGTTTGTCCTGGAGAAGGTGAAGCCAGAATGCTCCTCGGAGTCAAGGATTCTGAAGCTTCATCTGACATACTTTGGGCATGTTGCAAGGAGGGACTGGTCCTTGGAGAGGGTCATCATGTTTGGGAGAGTGGAGGGGCGACGAAGGAAAGGAAGACCTTTGATGAGATGGATCGATTCTGTGACTGGAGTGGTGGGAATGAGTGCGTTTGAGATGGCTAGGTTGGCACAGGATAGAACAGTGTTTAGAGCTCTTGTACATAGGGTCGCTATGAGTTGCAAACGACTTGATGGCACATAATCACATAAGGAGCTATTATTTTGTTTTGACCTCTGAATGTCATAGAAGTGACAGGATGAAGATATAAGTCTGAAAACTGCGATTTATTTTTTGGCTCGGACTTTTTTTGCAGATTGTCACATTTTTGTCCTGTGGAGCAGCTGATGGGTTTGAACTCCTGACTAGTGAGAACAAGCAACCATTTCCTTCCATTATACACTACTAGCTATGACCAGATAGAAAATATTCCACTCAGCCCTCATCCAGGTAAAACACTGGAGGCTAGAAAGAATGTAAAGTTTCTACTACTTAAGGTTGGTGCTGAATTAGCAACAGGAGTAATGTAGGTTGAACATTTACTGAAGGTCAGACACTGCTCTAAGAACATAGCATGTATTATCTTTTTAAATATTTTAAAGAATCTCTGGTGGCTGAGTGGTAAGTAGTTGCACTGCCAAACTAAAGGCCCATGGTTCAAATATACTGGCTGCTCAACGGGAGAAAGTCAATATCCTCCTGCATCTGAAAACTATCTGAAGGATCAACTACACGGAGATTCAGACTAGAAGGTACATACCAACAACGTCAATAGTTACTATTTACAACATAATTTACAACCTAGGCCATAGATACACTGAGTTGGATCGTCTTAGAAGTGAGTCAGGGACACTCTGATTCTAGAAACTGCTGTTTGCCTACCAGGTGACCCTACTATGTAGAGTGGAAAACTTATTTCAAGCTCACCTCTCCTCCTATTCACGCACCTGTGAAAAGAAGTCCATTAACAGTTTAAATATATTTACCAAATAAGGTCTCTAAGATCATAATCTTGCAAGGGTATTTATCTCCTATTTCAAAGCCCTTCTGATAAACCTGCTTTGATTTTACAGGTATCACTTCTTTTTCACATTTGCTTTGGGTCTCTCAAGACATTTAAGTAACATGTAAACATTTGAAAACTGCAAGGTGGAAATGCTAGACACTGCCTTTTATCTAATATCCTTGTTTCATGGGGACCCTTGAAATTTAAAAGCAATGGTTTATATTCATTTTAACACCTAAGGAGCAGGTGATAAATATCAAATATACAATGTTTCTTCTAGAAATCTCAAACACTTGGTAAGGCAGAAGGATCCCTAGTCATATCCACATTATGTGTTGGACTGTTAACTGAAAGGTCAGTAGTTCAAATCGCCATGTGCTCTGAGGAAGCACGATGACAGTATCCTCCCATAAAGCTTTATAGCCTGAGACAGTTCATGTAAATTGGATTTGACTACCAGCAATAGTTTTGGTTTGTTAATACAGGGTAGGGGTTAGTGGAGGGAGACAGGTGGGGTGGTTTTGGGGTTTTTGTTTGTTTGTTTAAAAAACAACGGGAAAAAAGGGCAACTTTGGTAAGCAAATTAAAAGAAATTGATGCTATTTATAGTCACAGGGCCCAAAGAGAAAAAAAGAAGGTCAAAAACTGGCGCTTCTTCCTTGCTCCATTAAAGGCAATGAAACAAGTTCTAAGTTCCGGGGACACACACACTGGGCCCCCCAGCCTGCTGCAGCGCTGGGTCAGCCGCCCCGCCTGTTTTGAATGAGAAAGGACAGAGTGTGCCTCTCTGGATTGCTGGCGACTGCGCAGACCTCCCTGAAGGCTCCCTTTTGAACATTCTGAACTTGGCTCCTTTTTAACCTGAAACAAAACACTGCTTATTGTTTATAGTCATTTACAGACAAATCTGCTTACAAGTGGTGGGTTGTTGGTTTGTTTGTTTTGTTTTTTTCTTTTCCCTTTAAATAAGGAGAAATAACTTTGTGTTGCCTGTTTTTTTTGTTTGGTTGGTTTTGGTTTTGGTTTTACTTTGCCTATTTTTAACTGTCATGTGAATGTTTGATTGTCGTCTGGCTTGTGAGTTCTCAGACAAGGAGAAACTTTCTGCTATTAGGAACTATGCACTCTGAGCTTTCTTGTGGTCCCTTCTTAAGAGAGAGTGAATTTTCTCACAGATGTTGACAGGCAGAGCTCTGCTGTTGAGTCATGCATTCCGGTGCCTGACTCTCTTGAGTAACTACTGCTTACTCCCTGAATTCGTGCTTGCAGATACCACCCTCAAAGGCTAACTTACCCACTTTGCATCTTCCCCACCACAGCCACGCCAAAGCGATTTTTGAAGTCACAGCCATACGACACACCTGTTGCAATCACAGTCTGCAAAGTTGCAAAATAGCCCAAGTTAGAAATCTGAGCTGAAATAAAGAGTCTACCTTTGGGAAAAATAACATTGTCAGACCCCACCCATGTTGTTATGTACCATTGAATCAGAACCAGCTGATAGCTGATCCGCTGGTGGGTTTTCAGAGGCACAGGAGGAAATTGCCTATCTTTCTCCTTTAGAACAGTTGGTGGTTTCAAATTGCCTTTGGGTTGGCATGGTGACTCTTACCATTAACCCACCAGAGCTCTCTAGACCCTACCTGCAGACCTATGAAATTGGGATTCCAGGTGTTAGGTTTTGGTACTTTAAAAAATGTTTTTGCTAGGTTTTATTGTCATATATCAGTTGATCCTAGGTAGCTGGGTCTATTTCTGGGTTCTCAGTTCTGTTCCACTGATCTATGTGCCTGTATTGTACCAGCATAATGCTGATTATTATTAATACTACTGTTGTGTATTCGGTTTTGAGATCAGGGAATGCTATACCTCCCAATTTATTGTTATTTTTCTTTCTCAAAAGTGTTTGGTTTATTTGGGGTCTCTAAACTTGACAATTTCCCTTTCTATCTCCTTAAAGAATGAATTTGGTATCTCTATTGGGATTGCATTGAATATGTAGATTGCTTTTGGTAAGATTGTCATTTTCACAATATTGAGTCCTATCCATGAATAGGGCACATTTTTCCATTTCTTTAGGTCTTTTATTGTGTCTTGCAGAAATGTGCTATAGTTTTCTTTGTAGTTTGGTACTTTTAAAAAAGATTGTGAAACAATTCTGGGAGAGAGCTTGAGTGTTTGGGTGGTGCGTGTGCTTACATGTGGTTACATGCTCAGATGTTAATTGAAAGATTGGAGGTTGAAACTGTCAAGAGATAGCTTGGAGGAAAGACCTGGCAATTAAGCAAAAAAATCAACCAACCAAACAAACAAACAAAAAAAAAAAACAAAACCCAAAAACCACCCCACAAAAAACAAACAAATAAACCCCAAAAAAACCAAAAACCCAATGAGTGAAAACCCAATAAAGTGTCTTATGAGGCCTCTTCTGCATATTTTATTTTAAGGAGGGAGGTTTGTCCCTTTGGGGATGTAACTTTCTAATAAATCTATCTTTACTGTTTTACCTTTAAAAACAATAAAAGAAACATCTCTATGAGTCAGAATTGACTCAGAGAAGCTGGTTTTATTTTGCTCTATTTCTTAGACAATTCTGATGTGCTGATGCCAGGCCAAGAACCACAGCTTTCATTCAAGGGGGTCTCTCTCCACCTCTTCTCAGAGGTCTGGTCTCTGTACTGTTTATGCCACCATCAATGGAGAGAATGAACCAAGACACGTAAAAGGATACTGCTATATTGCAAATTACCAAGCAGTGTGCCCAGTCATTATGGAGGTGACACCTTCTTGTCACAAAGAACCCTCCTGATCTATAGTTGCTGTGGGACTTTCGAAGTAAACATACTAGACCAAGGAACTAGGATACAAAGTCTTGAGATGTTCTCTTACCACAAAGAGCTCAATCGGAATGGGCACCGGAAGCTTGGCTTTGAAGCGCTGATTTACTTCTTTAACCACAAACACAATCACCAGAATAATCAGGGATGTCACCAGGTCTGCAATATTAGTATCCCTTATTTGTGAGAATATGGACACTAGAACCTACAATTATAAACACAGAACAAAACAAAAACCCATTCAAGTGTTATGTTAATGCATAATTTAGGTTTAGCACTTAATTATTTCCAGTTTAATAAAAACTAGCATTGGAGAACTGACAGGGGTTGATAGCAATTCTCCGTTATGCTTGTGTTAACTACAGGAATGAAATTGTATAGCCATCATGGAGATGGGAGCAGGGTGAGTGAGGGTTCGGTGGTACGTTTCCTACATCACATTGAGAGACCTGGGTTTGCTTGTCAGCCAGCACACCTCACATTGACACTAATGGCAGCAACCACTCATCTGTCAGTGGAGGTTTGCATGTTGCTATAATGGAGGCAAGGATTTTGAAGCTCTGTCTCACACACTTGGAGCACATGGCCAATATGGACCAGTCTTAGGAGAAAGATATGCTTGGATGGGTGGAGGGACAGTGCAGGACAGGAAGAACCTGGATGAGATGAATTGACTCGGTAACTTGGGCAAGGGGATTAGGTGTGTCACAGTCAGTAAGACTGGCTCAAGATAGGTCAGGCTTCAGAGCTGTTACATAGGGTTGTGATGTGTCACAGGCAACTTGATGGCACATAACAACAACAACAACATGATATTGAACAGGTTTCCATGAAGCTCTCAGACTAAGATTGACTAGGACGATGTGGTGATCTACCTTTGGAATCAATTAATGGGAATCTTATGGATCACAGCATGGCTTTGCCACGAGGTGGTGGCTGCCTTGATGAAACTTAATAGCCACAAGATATGCCTGGTGTGTTCATGATGGTTTAAGGATCCTTCTGACATCCCCCCCCCCCCAGGAAATCTCTTAGATTAATTCCATTAAAAAATACTTTTCTCTCTTTTTACAGCTTACCTTTTCTGTTCTTATGCCTCTTAATTAATTGAATTGTTGTTGTTGTTGTTAAGTTCCATTGAGTTGTAGACAACTCATAGTGACTCTATGAATGAAAGACCTGAACTTCTATAACTCTGACCATTTCTCCAAGTTCATAGAGTTTCCAGAGGCAAGCTATTTCAGAAGTGGATGTCACTCCTGCTTCCAAGCTTGTTTTAGTCAGGGAGCTCCACCAAACACTGTCCACTACGGATAACCATTATCACATTTGACACATCAGTGTCACAGTGTTTAGCATCACAGCAACCATGAGTTACCTCTGTACAGCAAGTGGACAGACCAGGATTACATGACCTAGAAGAATGTTTCACCAAAAACAATTAAAACCAGCCTGAGGGCCACAGATTAAAATCACCCACCTTTGGCTTTTTAGCATCACTTTCTATCCACTAGGCCAATAGAGTTCTCTATGTTGTTGTTAAGTGCTGTTGAGTCATAGATGACTCATGAATTGGATTATGTTCCCCCAAATATGTATTAGGAATCCTATCTTCTATGCCTGTGGTTATAATACCATTTAGGAATGGGTTGTCTTCCTTAGATAAGCGAGACAGGACTAGTTCTGTTGCTGTTTCCTGCTGTTATTTCTGAACAAACTCATATCTGACCCTTCAGTGGGTTTTCAGGGGCTATAAATCACACAGAAGGAAATTGCCCACCTTTCTCCATAGATTCAAACCACTTGTCTTTGAGTTGACAGCACAACTCCTTACCCACTAATCCACCAGAGAGTTGTTGTTAGGTGTTGTAGAGTCAAGTGTGATTCATAACAACCCTATGATCTTTCTTTGTTTCCCTAAGTTTTATTTCTTTATTTTTTGTTGTTGAAAGTATGCACCAATACAACAGTTTCTACATGTACAGATTAGTGGCGCTGATTACATTCTTTGAGGTGTGCAAGGATCCTCACCTTCTTTTTCTGAGTTGTTCCTCCCTCTTTAAACTGTACTTGCTATTTCCTAAGGCTTGTCACTAATCTTCCGAGTTGCTGTTGCGAATTTGATCTCATACCTTGTTGTTAGGGGCTTTCGAGTTAACTATGGTGACCATATGACAAGAAGGTCTACACCTTGCCCTGGACTGTGCCGTTTTCATTATCTCTGATATACTTGAGCCTATTGTTATAGACAGCATGTCAATCCAACTCATCGGAGGTTTTCGTCTCTTTTGGTTTTTGTCCCTTCCAAGCATGCTGTCTTTTTCCAGTATGAGATCACATTTCACCCTTCTTGCCTCTAAGGAGCATTCTAGTTGTACACTCTCCAAGACATATTCATTCATTCTTTTGACAGTTCATGGGATATTCAATAATCTTCTCTAAAACCACATCTTTAAGACATTGATTCTTCTTCTATTATCCTTATTGATTGTCCCACTTTCAGATGCATAGCAAGTAAATAAAATGATTGGATCAGGTGCATTTTAGTCTTTAAACTGAAGCTTGTTGCTCCTTAGAATTTTAATTGGTCCTTGATGGCAGATTTTCTAATGCAAGTCATCTTCTGATTTCCCGACTGCTGTTACCAAGGGTGTTGATTATGGATCCAAGTAAGATGAAATCATTGATAATGTCAATCTTTCTCCATCTATCATGATGTTATCTACTTGTCCAGTTGTGAGGACTTTTGTTTTCTAGATGTGGAAATGTAATCCACAAAGAAGGCTGTAGTCTTTCATCTCCTACACTGAGATCTCTAAGTCCCCCTCCCTTTCAGCAAGTAAGGGAGCATCATTCATATAACACAGTTTGTTAATGATTCTTCCACTGATCCTGATGCCACATTCTTCTTCACAAAGCCCAGTTTCTCAAATGATTTGTGCACTATACATGTTGAATAGGTATAGAGAAAGGATGCAGCCCTGACGTATGCCTTTCTTGATTTTAAACGATGTAGTGGTCAAACAATAGCTTCTTGATCTGGGTACAGGTTTTCATGAGCACAATTAAATGTTCTGTGATTTCCAATCTTCTCATATAATGTTTCTCTTATGATCTTATGGATAGTTCTTAAAAGAGGATAATGCCCAAGACAGACTTTATTTTCACTGGTTTTGTCTTAAGATAACTTTAGAGGATATTTTTGGTTCAAAGTTTTAAAGATTATCTCAGGGCAATAGTTTCAGGGGTTTATCCAGGCTCTATGACTTCAGAAATTATGTTCTGCATCCCAGCCTCCCTTTTGATCTGGTTTCTACTGTGGAATCTTTGCTCAAAATGTTCAGTTATGGTAGCCAGGTAGCATCCAGTTCTGTTCTCAAGGCAAAGGAGGCAGTTGTTTATGAAGACTATCGGTCACACATTTCATATGCTCCTTTCAGTCACTGACTCTCCTTCTTCCTCTTTGCTTCACATGAATAAAAATCAATTCCTATGCCTTGAATGGCCACTTGCATGCTTTTAAGATCCCAGGCACTATGCACTGAACCAGTGAGTAGAGTAGAAGTATGCTAGTTAACTTGGATATCCCATGAATCTATGACTAAATCTCTAAACCAAGGAACAGCAGCCAAGGAGGTGCCTCAGAGCTTCTCTCTCTCTCTCACCTTTTTATTGTTGTAAGTACATCACACAACTTTTTATAAGTATGCAACTTAATGACAGCAATTACAATGCGCAGCTGTAACCCTACCTTTAACTTTTCTGTCTTATTAACCCTCATCTCTTCCCATCTTCCATGCTCTGATAACTCCTAAAAAATTATCTTTGTATCCTGAAGAAACTAGAACTGTCGCCCAAGCAGATATATGCACATACATGTTTATTGTGACTTTGTTCACAATAGCAAAGAGTTGGAAACAACCCAAGTGCCCATCAACAAATGAATGGATAGAGAAGCTGTGGTATATTCACACAATGGAACACTATGCTGCATTGAAAAACAAGGAACTCATGAAATAATATATAAAATAGGTGACCCTGGAGGACATTATGCTGAGTGAAGTATCTCAGTCACAGAGGGACAAATACTGCATAGTGCTACTATGTAAAGCAGGACTGACATCAGGGTTGGGGGAAACTAAGAAAAGAGGGGATAAATAATGTATACTGCATTGAAACAGATGAGGGAGAGAACTGTTTGAAAGGAATGTACGATTAGGTATTATTTCATGACAAGAGTCCAGAATGAGATCTGCATGGTGGAGTGGACTTGGGGGCAGGGGATTGTATAATAATGAAATAATTTTTGGTTTAGTTTAGTTTTTTTTTTACTTTTCAAAGAGAATAACAAGTTGGGGGAGGGGTGGGCAGGGAGGAAAATGTGCAACAATGAATGAATGGAAATCCAAAGTGTCTATAAACTTTCATTTAAATTTCAATAAATTAAAAAAATGATCTTTGTATAATTGCCTTTTCTTGTCTTTTTTCTATAAATGAAATCATGCAATATTTGTCCTATTGTGATTGGCTTGTTTCAGTCGGTATAGTCTCTTCCAGCTCTATTCATACAGTAGCATAGCTCCTACAGCCTGAGCACTAGTCCACTATCTGTTGGTACCACATTTTGTTTAGTTGTTCATCTGTTGATGACATTTAGGTTGTTTCCATCTTTTGGCTATTACTAGTGTTACAATGAACCTAACTCTGCAAATCTCATTGTATCCATACATTCTCATAATTCCTGGTCTGTTTTAGGTCCAGACCCTTTACATTTCTTAGCTGACACTCTTGGAACTCATTTCATAGCTGACTGTGTTCTGTGCCTTCTCTGATTTCTAGAAACCAGTTGACTTCCATACCCATGGGGCCCCGAACAGTTCTGCCAGATCCAAGTTGGCCCTTGTTTTTCTCCCAGCATGCACTGCTTCTTGAGCAGCTTGAGTGGAGCAGAGTGTTGGTTATAGTTTGAGGTAGGGTTAGTCTCAGACTCCCTCCATGGGATTGTTCGATGAAAACACTAAGAATAGTATCTGCTCTACAGGGCATTGTTTGGCGGGGGGAAGAACCATGGCTCCCTTGACATATCAGCCAATTTCCTTTAGTCTTACAAAACGGGGAATTGTGCAATTTTAAAATAATAAGACTGGCTTTTTGAGACATAAGAAAATAGAACTCAGTGAACAAACTTAAGTTTTCAAATGGGAAAATTTACAAACTGTGGGACAAAGTAGGAAAGCTTAAAACAGTGCATTTGGCTGTTTAAAAAATGCTTCTTAAGAGTGAAAATCTGACAAGGGACATGAGATTATTATCATCATTACTGTTATCATCAGCTGCATGTTAGATGTGGTTGGTTTTCCGTGATGCTCTTTTTTGTCACATACTCTTTCTCAACCATTGATTTCTTGCAAGTTGTAGGTAAGCCCTGTGGTGAAGGCATTCAAGGAACAGTGTCTGAATGCTGGTCAATTTCTTGTGTTTCAAGTTTGGGGTATTTTCCAAGTGAAAGAAATACTTACTTTGAAAATGGAAAATGGATCCGTATGTGCTGGGACAGTCAGCTGAAGCATAAATTTGAGTTGGGAGACCAAAACATGGATAGCAGCTGCTGTGGTGAAGCCACTGATGAGGGAATCAGAAAGGTAGATGACCACGAATCCAATCCTCAGAACCCCTAGAAGTAACTGGAGACAGAGGGACAAAGGCCCTGGTTAGGAAAACACTTCAGCAAAGCCAAGGATCAGCAATTGAAAGGATTTTGAATGCAAATGTTCATCTTGCACCTACATGCCCTGAAGGAGGGGGAGCCCCCGCCTCTCATGGTGTTCACTAAAGGTTAAGTTTAATGAGCTCACAGGATCAACAGCTTCCACCATTTTATTTATTTATTTATTTATTTATTTATTTATTTATTTAGTTAGTTAGTTAGTTAGTTAGTTAGTTAAGTGTAGGGTCTTTCAAAGATTCATTCATGAAAGTTTTGTGCCTGAACTCAGTCTAGCATCAGCCCTTATAAATTTGCCCATGTAATTTTAAGTTATACTTTTCAGCTGCTGTAGCAGCTCTCAGTAAGTGTTCATTCACAGTCCCTAAAATCAGATTCTCAACTTGGATATAAGATATTATACTGTGTACTTTGACAGAGAGATATGTCAAACACCATACTTGGCTACCTATCATGGGCAGTGTTTGGTGGAACTACCAGACTGATTCAGGTTTAGAAGCACTTCCTAAACCACATGCCTCTGGAAAGTCTATGAACTTGGAGAACTGATGATAGTTACAGAAAGGTTTCAGGCCTTTTGTTCATCTCTAGTTTACACACACACACACACACACACACACACACACACACACACACACATTCCTTATATTTAAATGCTGATTGGGACTGAGGGCTTAGTGTTGTTATTCTGGAGGAACATTCTTCTAAGTTGTACGGCACTCTTCTGTCACTGTGCTGTACTGAGGTAATCTGGGTTTGCTTTGATGCTGAGACTTGTTGTGATTGGGGTGTCAAATGCCATAATGGCTGCGTATGGTGGACAGTGTTTGGTGGAGCTCCCAGTTTAAGACTGGTTTGGAAGCAGGAGTGGCATCCACTTTCTAAACCACATGTCCCTGGAAACTCTATGAACCTGGAGAAATGATGATAGTTATTGAAAGGCTTCAGGCCTTTTGGTCATAGGGTCGCTATGAGTCGTGCTCGACTTGACGGCAATTGACAACAACAAACAACAACTGTGTACTTTAGACATCATTAAGCCTATACTGGACTTTAAAAGTGCTCAGATTTACTTGGGACCAGCTGAAACCAAATAAACCCAAACCTATTACCATGGGGTTATCTCTGACTCTCTCTCTCTCTCTGTGTCTCTATCATCATCATTATCATCAAGTTGTAACTGACTCATAGCTGACCTTACACCTCATTTTCAAAGGCTGTGTGCTGCACAGGAGGGACTCCAGGCACACAAAAGTGGTGGTTACAGAAATGAACTCTAAGGCCCCCGACCACATTGTTTGTCCGTTAGAAAATAGGTCTTAAAAGAAATTGACTTTGTTCTTTTTTCCTTCAGTTGTTGTTGTGTGACTTGAGTTGGAACGGGCCCATAGCTGACCCTCCAGCTGGTTTTCAGAGGCTTGGAGGAGATTGCCTATCCTTCTCCCACAGAGCAGCTTGTGGATTTGAACCACATGCCTTTGGGATTGCAGCACAGCTTCTTACCACCTATGTGATAGGATATATTACTAACCATAAATGTAGGCCACATCCTGTGCCCTTGAGATTTTCCTTACTCAACAACTATGTTAAGCATGGCTTTAGGTGCCTCCACAGATCATGTCAACCTGACACCCAATGGGGTGGGGTGGGGTGGATGCTCATAGTTGTTGAGTCAGAACCCACTAAGTGCTGATCCAAGGCTTTTGGAGGTTGTACATTGTCCATCTTTGTCCTGCAGAGAAGCCAGCGGATTTGAGGCACCAGAGAGGCACCACTTTTGAGTTAACAGTGCAAATCCATCTGAGCTCACCACTGTCCTTGGTAGTGTTCCTCAAATGCATCCTTCAAAGTGCAAAATTCCCATCCCTTTGACTTACGTTACAGTTTAAAGAGTCTGAGATTTTTTTTTAAAACAGTTATAGCTGACACCATCACTAATACTTGCATACCGCTATTTTTAAACTTTTTGTTTTTAAAATCCTTTCTCAGGCATTTTATTGAGTCAGGCGTTTTACACCTCACCTCCAGGGCCTCTCTGCTCCACTCTTCCTCCTCTCGGGCTCTGCGTTACCTGTCGCTCACCTTTGTGGTGTGCACCTGTCCCTGTACTTCTTTAACCACTTGTGTTTTGGCCACCATGGGAGGGTACCAACAAGCCAAGAGGAAGAGCTCACAGGAGAGAGCAAAACCTAGAAAACTGTGTAACCTTCAGGACAAGCAGAGTAGAGAGGAGAGAAAGTGCTCACCTGGATGATTCCAGAAAGGACGGTGACACTGGCAGCCACCATCACCCGCTCCTGATCCAGAAGTGTCGCATTAGTACTCACAGAGGTACCGGAGGACTCTGTGGCATTCACGCTGGGATCTGGGACTAACCTTGTAACCACCGCTCCCACCATCATGCTCAGAACTGGAAATGGACCTAATTAAATCAGGGGATGAACCGTAATCAGTATAAAAAAACTCAAACTCCCTGCCTTTAGGTCACTTCTGACTCATAATGACCCTCCGTTGGATTTTGAAGCTGATAAATCCTAACGTGGAAGCAGGAGTGGCATCTACTTCCTAAACAGCATACCTCTGGAAACGGTGAACTTTGAGAACTGGTGATGGTTGTGGAAGGGCTGCAGGCCTTTTGTTCATGGGGTTGCTATGAGTCGTGCTCAACACCATGGCAATCGATGACAACAACAACAGCACCCTCACAGGAGGAATCTGCCCATATTTCTCTTGAGGAGCTACTGGTGTACTCAAATCTCCAGAAACACCTGACCTTTAGGTTAGTTAACAGCACAACTGAGTACAGAGTGTATTAGAGCATATTGATCTTTGTATTACAATGCCCTTTGGGCACGTGGCCAGGAGGGACCTGTTCTTGGAGAAGGACATCTTGCTCAGAAGAGTGGAGGGAGGGAACAGGCGAGGAAGACCCTGAATGAGGTGGATTGCTACAGTAACTGGGGAAGTGGCAATAGTTGTGTTGGGATCAGTGAGACTGACTCAGGACAGGCAGACTTCAGAGCTGCTGTACATTGTTGGGTCGCTATGAATCACAGGTGGCTCAACATTGCATAACAACAACATTACAATGTGAGCATACAAAAAGGCTTTAACTCTACTTTCCTTTTCCAAACCCCAGTGTTAATTCTTACAGGAAATGTAGGACTCTTGTACTGGACTGTGCCCAACCTGGAGTAGATAGAATTTGTGACTAATGGAAGCACAAAGAAAGACATGAGAGCCTTAATCAACTCAGTGACTGACTTACCCACAGATATGTGTCTAGAGGTTCCGAAGAAGAAGTAGATGATGCATGGGAAAAATGCTGCATATAGCCCATAGCCTGCGGGGACAGTGACCAGCAGGGCAAAAGCCAGACCTGAAACACACAAGCAGTGGAGCCCTCATTTTATGCAAAAGGGAGTCAGCGACAGTCTCTTTAGGTAATTAAGGTCGGACCCTAAAAATAAGTTACAGTATTAATACCAAATGCATCAAAGATGTAAATGGAAGACCAGAAATAGTAACAGTCTTAAAATATATTTCTGTGGTTAAGTGGCAATTTCTTAGATATGCTACCTAAATTATAAGCAACAAAAGAACACAATGGATAAATTAGACATCACTAAAATGCTAACAAATGTGTTTTTTTAAAAAGATACTATCAAAGCTATGATATGACAATGATGAGGGATGATAGAAGAATTGATGCCTGGAGAAGAGTATTGGATATACCATGGACTGTTAAGAGAACAAACAGATTCATCCTGGAGAGGTTTAAACCAGTCTGCTCTTGGAGGCAAGGATTCTGAAGCTCTCTCTGACATACTTTGGGCATGTTGCAAGGAGGGTCCAGTCCTTGGAGAGGGACATCGTGCTTGGGAGGGTGGAGGGACAGTGCAGGAGGGGAAGACCCTCGATGAGATGGATTGACTCAGTGACTGGAGTAACGGGGGTAGGTGTGTTGCAGATAGTGAGGCTGGCTCAGGATAGAACACTGTTCAGGGCTATTGTACATAGGGTCGCTATGACTCACAGACAACTCGATGGCACATAACAACAACAACCTCAAAAGAAAGTGAAAAAACTACTGTTTGGGAGAAAATATTGGCAAATTCAGTTTTGATAAGGATGAGTCTAGTATCCAAAATAACTGCTTTGGAGGAAGGACAACCAGGCTGCTCCCTAGAGACAAGGATGGTGAAACTCTGCCTCATAGATTTTGGTCACGTTACCCAGAGGGACCAGTCCTTGGAAAAAATGACAGCATGATGGGGAAGGTGGAGGGTCAGCAAGAGAGGATGACCGTCCACGAGATGGGCTGACACAGTCACTGTAACAATGGGCTTGAGCTTCCAGAGGTCATGAGAATGGCACGAAACAGGGCAAGGTTCATGTCTGTTGCTCAGAGGGTTGCTCTGAGTTGTAGTCAACTTGATGGTGCCTAGCACCACCACCACCACCAGACTACATAAAGAAGTCTTATTATTTGACAATGAAAAGGGCAAATAATGACATTTTTAAAATGGACAATGACAATTGAATATACATTTCTCCAGAGAATATACATAAATGCCCAATGGAAAAAATAGTATATAAGATGCCCATGAAAAAGGACTCAACATCATTAATCATCAGTGACAGACAACTCTAAACCAGAAGGAAATGTCTCTTCATGTCCACTAGTAAATATATAAATAAAAAGCAAATAATAAAAAGTGGTGATGAGGATATGAGGAAATTGGAACCTTCACACATTGTTGGTGGGAATGCAAAATGCTACAGCTAGTGCAAAAAACAAGTTTGGCAGTTCAATCTAAAAGTTATCAAATGACTCAACAACACCATCCTAGGAGAACTGAAATCATATGTGCATGTAAAAACTTACAAATATTCATAAAAACATTATTCACCAGAAAACTCAAACCTATCCAGTAATGAACTCATAGCTGGTCTCCACTGAGTAGCTAAGACTTTAAACCACCTGGGAGGGGATGGCTCATTTTTCTTCTGCAGAGATGCTGGTGACTCAAATGGCCAGAAAGGTACAACCTTGGAGTTAGCAGCTCAGCTTTCTACAGAGGAAGCTGCCAGAGCAACCATAACATTTGTATTGGTCCCCAAATGAAATCAGCCCACCGACTGAGAAACAGAGAAACATATTGTCTACCTATAAAATGAAATATCATTTGTCCATAGAAAGGAATGAAGAATTCATGCACACTATAATACAAGAAAATCTTAAAAATAAGCTTAGTGAAAGAAATGAAACACAAAATCCATTTATCATATGATTTCATTTATATGAATGTTCAAAATAGGGGTATCCATAGAACAGAAGTAGACAAGTGATTGCCAAAGGATAAGGGGTTTGGAGGAAATGGGGAATAATTGCTAATGGGTAGGAGTTTCTGGAAGGGGAGGGTCGTGATGGAGTTAGATGATTACAAAACCCCCTGAACATACCAAAAGTCATTGACTGTTTAAGTGGATGCATTTTAGGTTACGCTATATTATTTTCTAGTACATTTTATACTATGTGATATTTTTCAATGGCTTCCTATGCATCTGAAAGTTAAACAATGAATAAGGATGACAAGAATAAAAAGAATTGATGCCTTTGAATTGTGGTGTTGGTGAGGAGTACAGAAGAGCCCACAGAATGCCAAAAGAACAAACAAATCTGTCTCGGAGGAATTGTATCCTGGGTGTTTTTCAGAGACAAGGATAGTGAAACTTGTCTCACATCCTTTGAGCCTATTGTCAGGAGAGGCTAATCCTAGGAACAGGACCCCATGGTGGAAAAGGTGGAGGAGTCAGAGAGAGAGAGGAAGACCCTCCAGAAGACGAATTCACACACTGACCGGAATGGGCTGGAGCTTGCTAGAGATGGTGAGGGTGGGGCAGAGGCGGCAGGGATCGGATCTGTTTTTCAAGGGGTTGCTATGAGTTGTAGTTTACTTGATGGCACCTAATTACAACATATTCTTTAATTTTACATTTAAAAAACGCTACCTTGCAGTACAGCCACCAGCCCTGTACTGATCCCAGAAACAATGTCACTAAGCAGCCACTTCTTTATCTGGTATGCTGGTAACCAAGATGCTATGGGTAAAAAGGAAAGCGCGATCTTCTTGGCCTTTCGTGAGGAGCAGCTGAAAACAGGAAAAGTCATAGGTCAGTCAACTGCAATTCATTTTAATGGCACTTAATTGCAAGTGAAAACCAGCAATAACTAGTAGGTGTACTGTAATGAGTACAATATAATAATGATCAGTATATTAATTTGTACTTTCAATTCCATTAATGCTAATTTCTTTACCAGAAGAATTTGGAATGAAAAGTGCTGCCAGCTTGCCTGTAGCTTGTAACAGAGCTCATTGGGCTCCCTCAGCTTGAACTGTGTGGATTTCAACTGAAAGTTTGCCTCAGTTCCCATCTTCCCATGAAAAAAGACTATTCATTTTAAAGACTAACTAACTTCCCAACTCTGGAAGGGAGTGGGAGGTTTGGAAACTAATGACCAAAAGAATCTGTGAGAAACCAGGGGAGTCTGTTGACTATAGGCTAGATAGTCAGAAAAGAGAACTTGGAGCTTGAATATGTACAGGAAGTGCTTAATTTACTCTCAAAGTTAGAACTTTAAAGAAAAAAAAAAGAAAAAAAGTCTTACCTACAGCATTCACGAAGATTATCCAGAAATGTCTTATGATATCTGTATTTCTTCTCATGTTCTTCCTCGAAACCCTTTTTAGAATACACTGGCCGAGCCACAATATATTGGTTCCCAAAGGGTTCGATCATTTTGCTGTATCTGGGGGCTGTGACAAGTGGAAGTCCTGTGGGACACTAGTGACGAACCCTTCTTCTTGCCCCTGGCAGGTTAAAATGCCTGGAACCAAACAGAGCTTGCTTCTTAAATAACTCAGAGATAATGTGATGCAATTTACAGATGAGCGAGCTCCCGAACTGAATGTTACCACCTTTGGAGATCAAAAGAGGAAGGATTAAGGGACCTACATCGTGTTTTGCCCCAGCGATACCACCTTTTACTCCAACAAGCTGGGCAGTGCTCCTTTGGGAAGGTAAATAAGAGCTCTGATTTCACTTGTTTTTTAAAAAAAGATTGCCAAGAAGCAGTACAATTGACTCAGTTTGCTAATTGAGGAGTCAATTTTACTCTTGGGAAGTGAGCTCTGCTTACCTAGTAAAGGCATTTACTTATTTTTTTTTTTCCACCCCTAGATAAATTTCTAAAATTTGGCACTGGAGTACTAGACCAGATTAGATTTAAAGTCTAACCACTATCTGAACTCCAGTGAAAGCTGTTCCAATTCACCTTTCCTTATCTTAGTAACAAGGAGTCTGCTAGTCCGAACATTAGGGAACATTAAGCACTAGATGGGTAACTGAAAGGTTAATGGTTTGATCTCACCTAGCAGTCTGAAGGAGAATCTGCTCCAGCATATCTGTTCCCATCTCATGGGATCACTATGTGTCAAACTGACCCAACCTAAGAGCAACCATCTTTTTTTTTTAGTTAAAAACATTTTATTTAAACAACCATCTTTAAGGAATTAAATGATACAACATATTTAAGTCCTTTTCCTATTGTTTTTCAGAGACAATTTTAGATTTAAAGTTGAGGAAGCTATGATACAAAGTAAATACTACTTAGTTACCTAGATCTTCTTTTTTATTTTTAATTTTACTTATTTATTTTTTAAGTTAATTTTAGTGAAAGTTTACAGAGACTTTAGATTTCCATTCATTGTTGCACTTTTCTCCCTGACCACCCCTCCTCCTTCACTCTTCTTTTTGAAAAGTAAAAGAAAAATTCTTTCATTGTTATAAAATCCTTCCCCTCCAAGTCCACTCCACTACTCAGCCTTCTTTCTGGACTCATGTCATGACAATAATACCTAATCATATATCCCTTTCAAACAGTTCTGTCCCTTATCTGTTTCAATACAGTATACATTATTTATCCCCTCTTTTCTCAGTCTCCTCCCAACGCCAATGTCAATCCTGCTTTACAACAGTGGCACTATGCAGCATTTGTCCCTCTGTGACTAAGATAATTCACTCAGCATAATGTCCTCCAGGGTCACCCATTTTGTATAATAATTTATGAGTTCATTGTTTTTCAATGCAGCATAGTATTCCATTGTGTGAATATACCACTCCTTTGTTGATGGGCACTTAGGTTGTTTCCAACTCTTTGCTGTTGTGAACAAAGCCACAATAAACATAGGTGTGCATATATCTGCTTGGGTGGCAATTATGGTTTCTTTAGGGTATATTCCCAGTAGTGGAATTGGTGGGTGAAGTGGTATTTCTATTTGCAACTTTTTTAGAAAGCTCCTTACTGCCTTCCATAGTGGTTGTACCATTTTACACTCCCACCAACAGTGAATAAGGGTTCCAGTTTTTCCACAACCTCGCCAGCATTTGTTGTTTGCTGTTCTGTTAAATTTTGCTATTCTGACTGGGGTGAGATGATATGTCATAGTTGTTTTGATTTGCATCTCTATTAGAGCTAGGGATTTTGGACATTTCTTTTTTGTCTTTTTTTTTTTTAACATTTCTTCATGTGTTTGTTCTCCGTCTGAATGTCTTCTTTGGTGAAGTGTCTGTTCATATCCTGTGCCAATTTTTCAATTGGGTTCTTGACCTTTATATTGTTATGGTGCTCGAGTATTTGATAAATTCTAGATATAAGTCCCTTATCTGACATGTCATTACCAAATATTTTTTCCCAGTCTTTTGATTCCATTTTTACCCTGTTGGAGAAGTTTTGGGATGTTCATAGGGATTTGATTCTTAGAAGGTCCCATTCATCTCTTTAATCCTCTCCTGGTTGTAGATTACCTAGATCTTCTTAAGAAAAAAGCATGTGCAAGTTACTTATTCTCTCTAAACCTTATCTAATGATATTCTATTGTGAGAATATTTTAAAAGTATCTAGCATTATACCAGTACATGATAGGCTGGTACTAAATGGTAGCTGTTATTTTAATTATTAGCATTTTCTACCCATGATGTTTAACTTTCTTATTCTTGTATCACTCCGTTCCTATTTCCAGAATAATTTTATAAAGCACTGCAAAGTTTTTAATGCACATTGCAATCCTTTGAGACATTTACTGTTATTATTACTGCTCTCTTCTTACAAAGGATAAAACCTTACCACACTTTTGCCCCACTTTTCCAAGTATGATGTCCTTCTCCTGGGACCGTTGTTGTCATTGTTTGTCAACGGGTCAGAAACAACTCATGGCTGACCCTCCAATGAGTGCTCAGAGGCTGTAGGTTACATGAGAGGAGCTCACCCACTTTTCTCGCTTGGAACATGGTGGATTCTAACTGTGTGCCTTACCACTAAGCCTGCAGTGCTTACTGGACTCCTCTGCCCTGGCCCTCATGACAGTAATTAGAGCTTCTGCCTCATGTTCTGGCTTGACCTCCAGAGTTGGAGTCCTTTTGAGCTGTATGACTTTTAGATACACATGGGTGGATGCCTCTGAGAAGCGCTTCACTCCTACTTTTTTTGTCCTTCCTGCCTCTCATATCTCTCTCCTTGTCACTACTAGTTCCTTCTCACCCCTAGTTCTAACTCCATAACTCACTCTCTCTCTCCTCTTTCTCTCTCTCTCTCTCTCTCATTTGTCCTTAAGTTGGCATTGACTCACAGCTGACCCTCCCTTGGGTTTCTGAGGCTCCAGATCATGGTGAAGGAGATGGAACAGCTTTCTCCTGCAGAGCAGTTGGTAGATTTGAGGCCTGGCCTTTCAATTAGCCCCACAACTCCTGAACATGTTGAATTATCAGAAGAACTTGTTCATGAAGCAGAGCTGACTCCTTGTCACTGTGCTTGCTTGGTCCCCCCCCTTTTGCCAGTCATCAACAATATAATTGGGGCATTAATCATAAAATCTAACCCAGATCAAGAGCACCTGATAAGTTAGATTTCCTGCGAAGTCTCTCCAGATGGTCTTTCAAGATCAACTGTAATCCCTTGAGATATCCATCCTAGCCAACCTCAGGATGGAGACTGAAATACTGAGCATTTTTATGTCTTAAAGATGCTGCTTTAAACAACAACAACAAAGTGTCCACACTTCTATTTCTTTACTCATGTTTTTACCAAGGATTCTCACATACTCATCAGTTTTCTTCCTAACAAGACTTGAAGGTACTTTTTTTCTGCAACGTGTGTGTGTATGTGGTCTACTAAATCGTGGTCTAATATGCTGCCGGTGACAGTGATGGTAGAAACAGCTTCAATCCTATCGCTTTCCTGCTCTGAGAGGCACCAGAGTGGACTCTTCCGTGGGCCCTTCATGTCTCCAGCTGATGCAGGAGCTTGAAGGTGTTCTTTCTGCCAGATACGTAAGGACTGAATCAGGGCAGGATAAGAAATCTTGCCAGAATTTGGAGAGAGAGAGACTTTGAGGAGCACAATAGAGACTTTTCAATGTTTTTTTTTTTTCCTCTGGCTCTCATCTCTGCTCCTAAAGGCAGCTGCCTCAGATTCCACATGAACCCCTGAACTGATCACCTGGTACTTCTGCTGAAGTTCAACATGGTCATATATTACCTCCATCACCTCTGAGATTCTTGAGGATGACCTACGTTAGTCAAGAATTCAATATGATTTTCTTCAACTATTCCCCTACCTGAGCAAACTTAGCATTTCTCTATTCTTGGAATAGTATGGTTTTTTCCCCTAGAATCACAACTCCAGTTTCAATTATGGTGGTTCTTATTTTTAAGTGCTGTCAAGTCAAATATGACTTGACATGCTCATGCTGACCCTCTGAATAAAAGATCTGAACTCTATTCTATCCTGTTCCATCCTCATACTTCCTGACACACTACAGCCCATCTTGGCAGTCACTGCATCAGTACACCTGATCAAGAGTCCTACTCTCCTTTGCCAACCTTCCACTAGCATCATGTTCCTCTTCAAAGAATAGCCTCTCCTAGCAACATGCCCAAAATATGCGTGACAAAGCCTCATCATTCTTGACTCCAAAGAACACCCTGGTTGCGCCCTCTCTAAGACGTATCTGTTTCTTCTCTTGGGCATTCATGGGATGGTGAGTGCTCTTCTCCAACACCATAGCAAAAAGCCACCAATTCTTCTACTGTCATCCTTATTCATTGTCCAGCTCTCACTGATCAGAAAGACTATAGCCTGATTCAAATGCATGTTAGTCCTCAAAGTGACATCATTACTCCTCAATAATTTGGAGAGGTCCCTAACTGCAGATTTTCCCAGTGCAATGTGCTTCCTAGTACCAGGGATGTTAATTCTGAATCCAAGTGAGATGAAGTTGTTGATAGTTTCAATCTCCTCTCCATCCATTTTATAATAACAGGCCTTTGAAAACCCTATGAACATTAGAGGAATGAGGATAGTTTTGATTATTACAATCTTGTTAATGTGAGCCTTTTCACACTCTGTTGTGACTGTTTAACTCAAATTTCTATAAAGTGTCCCAAGCATAAGAGTGTGTTTTAGCAGGTTTGAAATCGACTCTTAGGGAAGTCCAAACCTTATTTTCTTCCCTTGACATTTTTTTAAGCCTTGTTTTCTCATTTATGCACGTTTCTACTTCTAGTCATTTGGTATCATGGAACTTTTCCATTTTTTGGACTATTTTGAGTATATATTTATGTTATGCATATATGTCCATACATCTACACACATACTTGTGTAGGATGGTTTCCACATATACTTGTGTGGGATGGTTTAATTATACACCTTTGTCTTTCTCTACTTCTTTTCTTGAACATAA